CGTCGCTAAAATATATAAACTATCTTATAAGCGACAAGAGCCGTTACTAAATTAAGCAAATTGCACTTTTTTAATTTATTTATTTACAGTGCATTTAAAAGCTCGATGCTATAATTGTTATTATGTGTTTATTGTTTTTACTTTTTAATGATTCCTAATAAATAAAGTCGACACATCTGTATAATATGTGCTTTAAAACACAATTAACAGCACTCGATAGCTAAAAGACGAATATCTACCACGTGAAAAGCGGCCAATAGTGAACACAATTTAAATACCACAACGAAACCTATTAAAGCAATGCTTAATGCTTATGTAACACATACCATGGGTTACCAATCAGGGGAGATAATATATAATTTATTTGGTTACGGTACCTGTGGGACCGCAACTGTTGATGTATTTTCATTCTCTTCTGTGAGCAATGTTCCCCTTGTTCCCATGTCATGTGACCTCTGGAACTCTGGGTAGTTGTACCTGTGTCCATGGCATTCAAACCCCAGGCTGCGGGTTCAGCTGTCCAACTGGTTATGTAAACTTAATGAAGGGCTATATACTGTACATTACTGTACGCCTACTGTACACATACTGTACATGGATGTGCTGTATACGTATTTGCCGTATATTCAAAAGTCAGGATGTATCAGCAAAATGCGTCATTGTGTGTGTGCGTGTTATCTATCAGAGCCAGCCCATAAAAACACTACACATCAGTGGGTGACATCTCGCCACACCCCCCTCTGAGGAAGTGTTACACTTAATCTTGCTAACTCCCTTTAGTTTAAAAACTATATTTTCTACCCCTAATAGCCGTCACTGATTCGACCCTACTCAGGTCTCGTGAAAGCCCCTAGCTAGTTATCTCCCCTTCTGTTTTTAAAAGAGTAATCTATCAAATGATTTAATTTTGTTATCTCCCTTTAGTTCGAAAAAGATTAATTTTTAATAACCAACTAACATTCCCGTCACCACGCGTTGCCGCGGTCTCAGAAGAAAATTTGACGGCTAGTCACATGATAGTGCTGGGCAAATATAAATAAAAAATTGAACAAACGAACGAAAGAACGAACGAACGATATTTTACCCAACCCGCTGCGACCTCTCTTATCTAAGAAACCCATGTGGCAGTACACGATCTACAATGTTCTAACATTTTTTTTTTAAACTTCTAGAACAGACTTGTCAGTAGCGTACGCAGGGGGGGAGCAGGGGGAGCGGCCGCTCCCCCTCTGGCCATTTTCAGCAAAGTGGCGCCTTTTTGGAAACTTTTTGAACTCAAAGTTTTAAACAATGATATTTGTTAAAAAAATATTTTTGGTCGGCACATCTATGTAAATCACAAGATTTCTTTTCATGCAGCAATTAAGCATTATTGTACTAGTCTAGTAGTGTCTACGTTTACAACACGTATTAACAGCTGCATCAGTTTGCCATTCTAAAAATAACCATTACGATGCATTGCAATGTTTAAAAAACCGCTACGGGTAGTACCACTTGGCAAGAGGGGTGTTAAGTTTAAGGCAATTGTATAATGTATTTGCTTACATGGACCCCTCTGTAAACAATTTTTTGTCATAATACCACTGCTACTTATTTAAATCTATTTCTGTAATATATATTTGTGTAATATATATTTGTGTAATATACATTTGTGTAATATATATATGTTTAGAAAAGTCGTCTAAAACTGACGCAATGTTCACTCTGAGTTGGTTATCTCCCCCCCCCCCCCCACACACACACCTCACCACCACAATTGTGTAGAGCAGGGGTCTCCAAACTTTTCAGTCCGAGGGCCGCATTAACTATCAAATTTCAGTTCGGGGGCCAATTTCTTCCAGGCATAGTTTCTCAACCATCACTAACAAACGATTTTTCCTTTGACGAAAAGATCTCAGCGGGCCGGATGAGACGACTTCGCGGGCCGCATTCGGCCCGCGGGCCGTAGTTTGGAGACCCCTGGTGTAGAGTGTAGAGCGATTATTAATGTCACACCTAGGTATACACTGGGTTGGATAATTGACCTAAAGTGACCGGACAGTGGTGAATGAAGTTGAACCCACACCCCACCCCCAACCCACCCCGAACTGATCTGTTAAGTACATGTAGAAAACCGCGTAATGATGTACCAAAGTACCATGCCGCCAGAAAATTAGCTTTTTAAACGTAAAACTCTGTGAAAATTGTTTTTGCAATTACCAGTAAAAAGGTGTGTGATCAATATAGTTATCTAACCCATACCTGTCACTATGTTTAAAAAAAACCCAAAGAAGCAGTAGTTACTTAAAAACACATGATCTGACCTAAAAGACCGATATTTAGTTAAATGTAGGCTGTTATTCCGAGTATTTTTAAATTACATCGAAAAGCGTGGTTTTATACCAACTCTGATTTTAAAAAATTTCATTATGCTGTAATACTTTAGCATTTATGATGACGATATATTAAATTCTGATTATAGACAAAAATATTTTGTAAACACGAATAGTGTTAAATAATTTCATTATATTCTAAATTAATTATTTATTGGTTTAGACATTTATAATTAAATGTGTAGATAAATACATATTATTTATATTAAGAGAGTGATAATTTCCCCTATTTCACTTGTCTTAAATAATTTCCCAGGAATTATTATGCAAGAAATTTTTTTTTTACAAGAATTACAAAACAGATTGTGTTACGTACATTGTTTTGGTTTTAGTAAGTGTATATATATTTTTTGTTGTTGTTTAGATTGATACAATTTTTTTTTTGTCGGCCTACATTGTGTTTTTTCTTATTTCTTCAGAGTGCTACTTTCAATTTATTTTACATCATAGCGAAGTAATGACATACAGTAGTAATTATATATATATATATATATATATATATATATATATATATATATATATATATATATATATATAATACACGTATATAGAACGTGTTAAAAATTCGGCGCCTTTTTTGCTCTTTTCGCTCCCCCTACAACGAAAACCTGGATACGCCTCTGAGACTTGTCAGTCTTTTCTTATCTTGGGGTTATTAAAGATAACATTCTAGAACAAGTTGTTGTTGGTTTTTTTAATGTTCTTACCGGTTGGCAAAATCTTTAATTTCTTTACATGACGCTTAATTACAAGCTGACATGCAGCTTATAATTAGAGCAACGTTTTATTTCTTGCTGTATATAAGTAATATCTAGATACATTCTTCCGGTGTTCGAATCTTCAGGTAGAGAAGGCGTGTCATATAAGTAGGGAGAGCAACCAAGCAAATAAATTCTAAACGTTTTTCTAATAGATGTGAGAATTAATTGATTTATTATGACTACTGCTTACTATTTGCCACATGGCTAATGTAAACAAAGCAAATACGTCAGATATAAATAATTTCATTCATAAGTTCGTTTGATGCGCAATTTCTGAGGCACACTGTTATTTAATTTTGAATGAGACATTTCCAAGCTATTTTTAAATCTTCTGTTAAATAACTGAAGAGGTTATTTAGTGCAAAGCATAAATGAGGCCCATGAAACAGTTTAAATAAAGAGAAAGTAAGTGTAAGTGTAAGTGTAAGTGTAAGTGTAAGTGTAAGTGTAAGTGTAAGTGTAAGTGTAAGTGTAAGTGTAAGTGTAAGGGTAAGGGTAAGGGTAAGGGTAAGGGTAAGGGTAAGGGTAAGGGTAAGGGTAAGGGTAAGGGTAAGGGTAAGGGTAAGGGTAAGGGTAAGGGTAAGGGTAAGGGTAAGGGTAAGGGTAAGGGTAAGGGTAAGGGTAAGGGTAAGGGTAAGGGTAAGGGTAAGGGTAAGGGTAAGGGTAAGGGTAAGGGTAAGGGTAAGGGTAAGGGTAAGGGTAAGGGTAAGGGTATGGGTAAGGGTAAGGGTAAGGGTAAGGGTAACGGCAACGGCAACGGCAACGGCAACGGCAACGGCAACGGTAACGGTAACGGTAACGGTAACGGTAACGGTAACGGTAACGGTAACGGTAACGTTAACGGTAATGAAAAATATGATAAAGAATATAGATAGATAAAGGTTAAGGATAATATAATTATTTTGGTTAGTATAATATTTATTCTGTAAAGGTTAAATGCACAGGGTGGTAGTTTAGGCCAGTTAATGGTTGTTGAGGCTTTTTCTAGTTTTCTGCTTTCAATGGAATTCAATGGAAGGCTCTAATATTACTATCGATGATGTGCATATCATCTCACATTTAATAGTTACTATGTGCTTGGTAGAGATTATGTGTGTGTGTAATGTTATGTTACACTATCTTTTAGTTGTCATTAATTTATTTTTAACTAGCGCACCCGTCTCCCGTTGTCGCGGGGATAGAAGAAAGTCTGACCAAATATATTAGAAGGATTTCTAAAAGTGAGTTATTTAAAATGTAAACAATGCCTGCGCTTGGATCATAGTTATCGGGACACGGGTTTACCTACACTAACGAATGAAATCCTTGAATGTACGTTAATAGCTCTCCGAAATAATGAGGGGAACTCTCAGGAGCCCCACAATAACACTACAGCACAGACGCAGCGTTGGCTCCTTAAAAATAACGAAGTGCCAACGTGCTAACAGGATAACTCAGTGCGCCACTTAGTCTCCAGAAACAATGATGCAGATTGCGTCATTCGCTAAAGTTACACAAATCAACGAGTTTTTTTTTAAAAAGTTTATTGAATTTGTGTAACAAACTGTGATAATGAGGAATGGTAGCTTTTTCTGCATGTTAATTTTAGTAGAATACAGATTAATTCTAAAAAAAAACATAATTTAAGTATGCTAAACGTCAAAAAAAGCAAGAATATCGTTGATTTTTGTAGTGGATCTTTGGACGTCAAAATATTTATATAAAATTTTCTATGGGAAAGATTCTATTCGATTAATACTACACAATATTCAAATCTGGCAGTTAATTAGATAACGCAAAACAACACTAGTTTTAAAAAAAATCAGATTAAATGTTTGTGTTCATAGTCACGCGTCCATGTCATGACCCATGGGCTATAAAACCGGGCCAGAGATATGTCGTTACACTGCAGCTCCAGAATACCATGAGGACCCTCGCTCTACTTTCTCTAGCTATCTTTGGCTGGTATGTTTAAAGCATATTTTTAAATATATTGTTTTTAATATTGCTAGCATGTACGGTCTTATTTGTTGTTGATTTGTGTATATGTGTGTTATTTTATGTGCGACTGTTTGTGTAGTTCTTACATTTTTCGTCATTTACTTCAAAATTCTTTGACCAAGATGTCTGTGTTTGGGTATGAAATGTGTGTATTAGTTTGATGTATAGTTATGTGTACTTGATAGTCATGTTCTTCCTTCTTATTTTCTTACATTACGTTAAACATTTAATTTGATGTACATGTTTATGAAAAAAATAATTACTTAGAAAAAAGCTTAAAACTTTAACCATACAATTAATGTGATTTACAGCGTCGTTGCCCAACCTGGCGGCGGTACCAACTACGACAACCTTTTTCAAAGATACGCCGGAAGTGATAACCTTTTGCAGAGGAATGAGTTTGACAGATTCTGGCTTCACTTTGATGACAACGGTAAAACACTGAGTCTGTTGAACTCATCTTGAAATCGTCTTCTATTGGGTCAGTAGGTTAGGGTATAGTTGGTCATCTGTTCAGTAGGCGTGGGAACAGTTAGACATTGGTTGAGTATTAAAGATGGTGGAGCGGAATTAAAGAATGTTGTATATTGTAAAAATGGCGTTGGGAATCGTAAATCCCATCCCAAGAATTCATTTTGAAGAATTATTAACAATTGGAGCTTGCAATAATTTCAATAAAAATGTAAAACTTATCCAAGATAAAACATTGCATTGTAATACATTTACATTTGCCTTTTTTGTTCTGCTGGATTCCACATGTACAATAGCTAACGCTATTTTATTTTCCGATGTCAAACTAGTGATGATACCTGAAAAGATTATTTTTTTAATTGTGTCTTTTCAAAGCAATTATAAACTTTTCCTCACAGCTGACGGTGATGTGACCAAACAAGAATTCGACCGGGGATGGAGACAGGAAGGTTTCCCTAACCCTCAAAACGCCCCACTCTACTTTCTTGAGCTGGACAGAGTCGCCGATGAGGTCCTCAACTCTCTAGACTTCCCACACATGTTCCACCTGTTTGATGAAGATGGTAAGGAATTGTATCTTTACACTAAACCTACTATAATATACATAAAAGCTAATTAAATTGTAAAGATAAATCACTACTTTTAAAGTTTAATCTAATATCATTTCAGGTAATGGCGTCGTCTCAGAGAGAGAAGCCAGATATAATTGGAACGCCTATTTCGATTAAATGCCAAGTTGGTTTATGGAGTTTTAATCGAAGTATTATGTTAACATTTGTATTACAAACTTTTATTTATTTTGCTTTCTCTATCTGTCTTTTTTATTTTGTTATTTGCACATTACGTTAGCTAAAATGGTACATTGTAAAAAGAAAATATGTTTTGAAAATTAACAATATTGAGGTTTTTTTTAATTATCAATGTATACTTTAGTACAAAAATGAACAATTTAAAAATATTACACAACGGCGATCAAGTCGAGTTTTTGTTTTTACTATATGCATGTTTTCCACAAACATTTTACATACATACATAGACAGAGTGTTCATTTAAGCTTTATATACTGGACTAGCGATCCACACTCGTAAGTTCGGTGTGGTATCAGAAGAAAGGCTGTCGCAAAATTTTAGAAGGATTTCGTCGTTACGTTAAAAAAAACATGTATTTTTACATCATGATTTTGCTTTTCTAAAAATGAGTTATTTAATATTAAACAAAGAAGACGCTATATATTATGGATTATAGTAGTTGGTGCGCCGTTTTGTCTACACTACCGCCCACACGCCAAGGCGAGCTATATGAAAGCCTTGAGTGTAGGTTGATCACTCTCTAAAATAATGATGTAGAGCATACCTCGGCGGGCACCCTGGTGGCTCTCGATATGTTCTGGTTACAGCACAGAAAGGAGGTCGGGTACGGCCCCTGGCTCAGTTTAAGCATTGAATGTCGTTATTTAATGTAAAACCATATACTTTTTCGTGTCAAGGGTTTGCCCACACTACCGCAGATCACACAGCAGGACGAGTTGTATGAAAGCCTTGAGTGTACTTTAATCACTCTTCTTAAGATTGAGTTAGAACACATTTCGGTGACCGCCCTGATGTCAAGGAGCCCCCGGTTACATGGGCGTGGGCACCGCGTACAGCTCCTGGTTTGTTTTAATCATCAAATTTCTGTTGCCACAGTGTCAATACTGATTCAATCATTGAACGACTATAATGCTACAGCTTATCAATGTTCTATGGCACTCTTTAAAACGAATATATGCGCCATAGCGCTAAAGGGAAACTCAGAGGGTGCTGGCAAATAGCGCGCTGCGGGGCGCAGAAGCACGCACCTGGTTCGATTTCACAGCCTATCGCACTTTTAAACAAACGTAGGCGCCATAATGTGTATGGGGGAGCCATGTGCGCCAAATCGTCTCCTGTTGGGGCGCCGGAATAGACGCCTGATTTCATAAAGTATGTTGCCCATAGTGTCTTTAATGCATAGCCTTTTTTTTTTAAACTAACGTATTCGCCATAGTGCTCTTGCAATCGCCTAAGCTGCGCTTATTGCATTTTTACTGCTAAATATAGTAGTACATCTTACCATCTAATCAAGACGCCCAAATAACGGATACCAAGTGCAGCTATAGCCGCTCTGGAACTCTAAGCGCCAAACCGTTTATTTGCAAATATCGCACCCTCTCAGGCGAAACCCATGATAAGTTTCATTTCTTTTTTGCACAGAAACTTTGTCGGGAGAATTCTCATCAACTCCCAAAAGTATCATAACATGCGGATAAGCGGTTCCAGTATAAAAGATGTATCGATTGTAATAGATGACTTGTGGGTGGTTAGTATCATAACATGCGGATAAGCGGTTCCAGTATAAAAGATGTATCGATTGTAATAGATGACTTGTGGGTGGTTATACTTTACTTATGTGGCTTAGTTAGCTATGCAATTGTAATTGTGATTCGTGGTCTGTAATTCCGAGTGTCTTAGTAAGGTGTTTTAGTTTGTTTAAGTTTATTATCGCTTGAGTGTATCTTCTGTCTAACCTAGCAGCGCTATTCAGGGTTCTGATGTAGTATGTTGTTTTAATCAAACTGAGCTATGTCTTTTCGTATGCTTCTTTTAAGCTTGTTCTTTGTTTTAAATTATTAAAATTATTATTTTTTTCATTGCAATTATTTACTTTTCCTGCCATCTATTTATATTATGATTTCGTTTTAATATGGGGTATCAGAAAAACGGCTTTCATTTTTTACTTTCTCGTACATACGAAGTATATTGTAATCGTGCAAAAAACATCGAGATTTTTACAAATCTCGACGTTTTACACCTCACTGATACGGAAAAAACATAATTTTGCAATCTTGTCCGTATGTCTGTGTGTCTGTGTGTGTGTAAACACGATAACTTGAGTATCGTTACAGCTAGGTTGATGAAATTTCACATATAAGTATTTTATCAAAATCGTAGATCAGTATCAACTTTTGAGCGATTTCCGATAACCGGAAGTGGTACTTTTTTAACTTTGAATTTTTCAAAAGCCTATAACTTGAGTACTATTTCAGATAGATAAATGAAATTTCACATGTAAGTACAAGATCTAATTCTCCACCTGCTGTGAAATTTAGAGTAATTTCCGTTTACCGAATTTACTAATTTACGCTATTTCCGATTTCTCAAAAAACGCATGTAAATTTATAAAGAACTAATAATATTGCGCACTATTATGCACATTCATTTGGCGTTCACTTGGTGTGCAATTCTTTTTTCTACGAGATTTTTTTCTATTTTAAAAACTTTAAGTATTTAAAATGGAGTTCCCATCTCTTGTTGTTTTATATAAGAATATTCGAGAAAGTTTAGGGGAGATCACTCCCGGTTTATCTTTCCCTGTGTTTTGGCGCATACAATAACGTTTGTTATTTCTGTTCTGTCAATATTTAGTTCGATGCATGTTAACCTGCTCTATTTATTCGTGTATGTGCTTTTGTTGTTTTCTTTATTTGGGAAGTTTTACACAAGTCTTATTAGGTGACAGCCAACGTTCGCCAGGTGTCAGCAGTTGTCAGTCAAGTGTCAGACAGGTGTCAGTAGCAACACTAACGGTGACACAGCTCGTCATTTTATCGTTATATCGGATTAAGCTTCGCAGATTTCACCAATTGCCTTAAAAACTCATTTAGCTCATAAAAAGAGCTTATGTCTATATATATTGTCACAGACTGTATTATTATGTATCTTTATTATATTGTGTTTTGCATGAATGAAGAGTACCTGGCTAGCGGAAGGACTGTCTGAGCGATCGTCATGTGTTTTTTCATGTTTTTGGGTGAGATCGCTCATGTACGTAAGGGGAGAGAATGGACCGTATAAAAGGGAGAGCAAAAAGGTGAACGGGTGTTGTGTGCTAGGACTTGGGACTTGAACTGTGGCAGTGAATGTAAGATGTCTCCATGACTTGGAGTCGTGACTGTGACTGTACTTGTTGAGTATCTTCTAATATGGATTTACCATGAATAACTATGGATTTATCATTCTCACTGTATATAGTGTAAATAAAGTCATCATTTGAAGTTGCCACTATTGCTTGTATTCCTGTGTGAAAACTAACCCACAACAACAAAGAATTCATGTTGTTACATATGGTGACAGAAGTGGGGGCAACACCAGTTGCTATATTGTCAGAAATGGTCAACATTTGTTACTTTTTTGTTGGCTGAAGTGGACGTATACTCAAGTTGTTACACTGATGTTGTTACATTGATGGATTAGATTGAAGTCAGAAATCTTCAACGAAGTTACAGTGTTACCACAAGTGATCAAAGAATTGTCACATTATTATTGTAAGCAGTTTTCAACGTTTCTGAAGTGGTCTTCCACTGTATGCCAGTGATCAACGCTGGTATATCAAGCAAGTACATGAAATTATTAATAGTTATCTACAGTCAAGTCATCAACGTGATAATTGTTATCACATTATTTTCGACATTGTCTCACCAATGTCGAATAAATATGTAACAGATTACTGTTACACCTACAAATGTGTGTTTTTTTTTCTATTTGGATTTAGCTGTTCAAGTTTTTTCTATATGGATTAGCTGTTCAAGTTTTTCTACTGTGGATTAGCAGATCTAGTTTATTAATTGTAAACTGTTCCTAAAGATGTCTTATCTAAAACTGGACAAATTTCTACTCTGTAACAGGCTACTAGAACTATTTTGAATTTTTTCAACTTTTTGGAATCAACAAAGTGAACTATTTTTGGACGTATATATGTACTATGAACTTTTCTTGGATTACCAGATGTCTGTAATCAACTAAAACAAGCCAGAAACCAAGAAAGGGTATTGGTAAATTAATTAACACTTACCTATTGTTAACTAATGAATTTATATTTTATGTCATAAATAGAAAATATATCAAAATGTTATGTTTTGAAGAATATCTAGCACTAGCGAGGGCGCAAGGCATTAAGAAGATGAAGAAGCAGATAGCCTGGGCAAACACTCGATTTGACAGAGACATAGAAAAAGCATTAGAAGCATGGGACGAAGAAACAGGACGACCCCGACTAGCTCATGGAAAAGTAATAAGAGAATTAGATGATGAGATAGAAATAGTGTGTAATAGATCAAGAGCTATTACAGACATGCAAAAAGAAGAAGAAATGTCAGATGGAGATAAAGTAGAAGAGACTGTACAACTAAAAGGAAAGCGAAAAAAAAGAAACAGAAAACAGAGATCTGATAAAAGGGCTGAAACTTTGGAAAAACAAGTTGGCCTACATGAACTAGAATATAAACAAGAACTATTAGAAATGAAAGCTATAACAGTCACAAATGAACCAAAATTAGAAAGTGAACAGACAGAATTTAAAGCAGAACTTGAAGAAGTAAATATTGGCAACCTTTGGAATGAAGAACTAAGTAACATAGTCCAGGAAGAATTGAAACCCAAGGAAAAAACAGAGGTTGAACTTAATAATGATTTAAAGGTGACAGATACATTAGAATGTTTTAAGATTGACTCTTTATTGACTCAAACGCAGGTACACGAGAATATTATTGAAAGTTGTATCGTAAGTCCATCAGAGAATGGCAGTCAACAAGAAACAAGTCCATCAGAGAATGGTTGTAAAAATGATTTAATAAGCCCATCAGTGAATGGCAGTGATGATTTAATAAGTCCATCGGAGAATGGCAGGAATCATGATAAACTAATGATGATTAATGAATCAGTGAACTTAATAAGCCACAATGAAGAGAACGTACCTATTGAAGATTTACTTCGAAAAGTGGAGTCAAACTATAAAGAAGATATACTAGAACTCAAGAATAAATTTAACAAAGAAATGGAGAAATTAACACAGAAATTTATGTGTGAATTAGAATCAATAAAGAAGCACAAGGAAGTTAAGAAAGATGAAACAGTAACTAGAAACTACAATGTCATTAATGCACAGAATGAAAGT